ATTAAAAATGCTAAATATAATAAAAGTTATTAACTAACATTAAAATAACTATATTATAGAATATTTGGATCGTAACAATGCCAATAGCGATGACACCAAACTACTTGCCACAATGGGAATTATACCCACCTCTCCTATTGGAATCTGGGAATTTGATTCAACCAAAGAGGGAGTATTATTTTCCCGTTGTGCAAGATATGAAGTCACACTCTTGGGTATACTTAATGGCACATCAGAACTTATATGTATATCATCTAGGGATATATTGGTCTTTGGCGTAAGCCAGCCTTTGACTGAAAACTCGGGTGTAGAGTTAACTGCTTCTTTAGATGTGATGGTATTCTTACTCTGTGCGTCAGTATAAACTGGTACAATATGTGCTTTAGCACTAACTCCGTTATTATCGATTTTTCACTCTCATCCATATTTTTTCTGCATACTATAAATGGTCTAAGATCTTTGATAGGTTCACTAATTACAGAAATATTAGATACGAAAGCATCCTCACTCTGTGAGTCAGGTATGATTATATTTTTTTCGTCATCCCCACCAACCATGGGTTTCGATATAACCTCCGATTTTAGATGCTCCAGCTCGTTAACTTTTGACACTAATTCATTCTTTATATTTTCTAATTCTGATATTTTAGATTTGAGAGACAAGTTTTCGGATTCTTTTTTCGATAAGTCTTCCTGAATCGTCAATGTATCTTTTTGAGCTAAAGCTAGTTTATTTCCCACTAACTCATTCATAGACTGGAGAGATTCTATTTTTCTTAATTGAATAACACCCTTGGCTTCATACTCAGCAATTGAAATCTGTAATTGGTTATTTTGAAATGTTAAAGTATCTATCTCTGAGCTCAATCGCTTAATCTCATCTATGAGTTGATAGGCATACTTAGTAAGTTCTTCTTTATCTTTACTGGTTTGATTTAAATCACGTTGCAAATGCGCTTTATCCTGTTTGCTATTTTTAATAAACTTTTTATGCATCTTCTGATAGTTTTTAAAATCATCAATAAGTTCAGAATTGGACTTACAACTATCACGTAAAGCTTCTTCAAGCTCCATCTCCCTAGTACTTCCAAGACGATATCCTTTTGAGTTAATATCTCGCAATATGTGCACGTTATCCATATATGTATAACCAAAATATAATAAAATTCGTAATAATTGTGTATAAATAATCTAAAACTAATATATCCAATGAAATACCTATTTTGGAGAAATAACACTCTCTGCCCATATCAACGCATATATCAATAAGAATCAATAGGTATCAATAGGTATTAATTATCAGATATCAATAGGTATCAATAGGTATTAATAGGCATCAATACAATATCAATAGGTATCAATAGGTATCAATAAAATATCAATACTCATAAAAGCATCAATACGTATCAATGCATTTTGAAAAATTATTGAAACTTTTTTCTAATACATATACAGTATATTTATCTTAAGATGCTTACCCATATTCATCAAAAATTTTATCGATCCAATGCGACTCATTTATCCGAATCTGATATTATAGAAATTAGAGAATCAAGGGGGAAGGTACCAAACGCATCGAAAAAAATGGCAAAAAAATTTCATATTGGTGCTCGTCGTGTTTATGAAATATGGGAGCACAATGAACGTTTACAACAAGATCTTAATTTCCCACCACCTTCTGATTCTGATTCTGATAACTCTTCTATTTTAAATAATTTTCAAATCAAGAAACCTTCAATTATTGAGATACCGATTAAAAAAATAAAATCCAAGCATGTTCGTATTTTGGATCAACCTTCTATTAACAAAAATTTAACCGGAAAGTTAAATGGAATGTCATTAGAAACCATACTACCTGAAACTCCACAAGAAACTGGAGATATTTTAGAACTCCATAAAAGAATACAAAAAGAGGAGAAAAAATTTAGAGCAGTTGCTCGTGCTGATATAGCTAAACAATCTACTCCAAAAGTATAGAATTGATTTCTGTTTCATACTGATTGCGCAAATTATTATAATATCCAATAAATTCTGAATTGGTTTGAATACTAGTAAATAGTGCTTTTTCAAGTTCTTTTATATGAATAGTCATACTTTCACAATTTACGCATTTTTTTTTACCTCTGATGCCTGTATTTTTTCTGTATTAAATGCATTGCGTGATTCTTTGCGAGTAGAAAGAGGAATTGTAATAGTCTTTCCATTGTGTGTTGCTATAAATTCCCCTTTTACTATAGGATCCCATCCGACACGATGTTGCCATTTGGTACCAAGTATCATTATAGATATATCATTTCCATTTCGATCTTTTTTTGTAGATATTACAGATATATCTTCATAAACTGTTATAGAATCCTCACCACTACCAATAGTTATAGAAACATTATATGAAGTACCAATAGATTGTGAATCTCCAACCGCACCAGTAAGTTTGTGAACATTTTTCTTATCTATTTTTATCTCTAAATATTCAGGAATGTTATCAGTAAACATTGAAGAATCTGCACCGGTATCTAGAATTGCATGGGATATTATCAACTCACATATTCTACATAAAATTGTTGCTACATCATTAGGTTCTATTTTGAGGAAATCAACATTAAAGGGGTTAGGCCAATTTCGGGTTATTTGTGCTCCTTGATATACTTTAATTGCGTGATTTAATGTAATGGAATTGTCAAGTTTTTCTGGTGAAGATATAAGCTCATAATCGCGATTCGTTTCTTTGTGACTCAAAGAGTTTGGAGTCTGGTCCTTAATAATTTCAATAAGTGGTTGGAAAATAGTTAGATATTTTTTCACAATAATCTCCCATACCTTATTTCGTTCCTTGACTGTATACTTTTCGCCATAATATGAATCGAATTGGTCCTTCATCTTTATAAATAGATTATTAAGAAATACACGAGCTTCAATGAGAATCTCCTTAGGACAATGGAGTACTAATTCGGATATCATATATTTAAGAGATTCAAGAAATACTTCCTGTTCCAAAGTAACGATCGATTTTTTTTTAGTAGAAGGCTTCTTCTTTATAGGAATCCGACTTTTTTTTTTACGTTAAAATAATTTTGTGATTCAGTATCTGGGATGCTTTCCTCATCCCCCTCGTCATTTTCTTCGTCTTCGTCATCTTCCAATATCACCACCTCCTCATCATCTGAATTTTCTGGTTCGCTCTGATAAGTATAATTAACCTTCTTGGGTTTCGTACCTCCAGGACACATATTTTTTCTATGTCCAATTTTTCCGCAATTTGAGCATTTGTATGTAACTTTAGTAACTTTAGTAGGCTTCTTTGCAGGCTTTTTTGTTGGCTTCTTTGTAGCATATACTTTTTTAGTACCCGAAGTACTAGGTCTGATAATCACTCTGATATTAACCTCTCTAACTTGACCAAAAGGCTCTCTTTTAAGATGATAATTTTCATAACCTAATCTGTTATATAATTCATCATCGATAAATTTTATTAAAGCATCAGGATTTCGTGATCCATAATCTGAGTAACCTAATCTCTCAGCAACAGTATCCAAATAATCTATTGCCTTATTTTCCAGAGGCTGTGGTTGAGATTGAGGTTGGGGGTGTTGGTAATATTAAATTTGAGGGAGTGAGGTAGGTATAGACTCATGTGTCTGCGAAGTAATATTAGATGATTGAATATTACTCCTACTCCCATTTGATTCCAACCAACAATTTCTAAGATTTGTAAAGAAAGCGTCTTTGGTTGCAGGGGCTGTCATTCTAACTCGGAGTTCTAAATTTTCTGGTAAGTGGTTATAGAGTATAGGTAAACAATCGGCATCTGCAATAGAATGTGTAAATGTACGAATTCTTTGCTTATAACTATCTGGTGTATCAAGTGGAGAAAATTTTTCATTTATAAGCGCTTTCATAGATGCTTGACTAGTTCCTATTATTACTTCTCGATATTTATCCTCTAACCAACCAAGAAAAAGTGCGGGTGTATTTACTTGATTACCTGCTCTATTTTGAAATGGATCAGGTGGTATGAATCTTTCAGCTAATCTAGATGATAACATTCGTGTTTTTACTGCATCATTAAATCCTGCAACAGCTAATGTATTACCATATTGAAATATTTGCATAAATTTGTTATAATATTCTATTGGAGGTTCCTGCCCAATATACATTGGAATTTGAGCAATCATTGGGGCTAATGATGATGTAACATCTGTTAAGGCAGCCATATTGTGTGAATTTACTAATGGATTATTTTGTAAAGCAAAAATTTGTTGACGTAAATTAATAATTGTTTGCCGAGCGTCATGGGTTTTATTTTTCCATTTTTCATACCTCACTATAAGTTGATCTCGCCAATACTCTAATATTGTTCCATGATTATGACATTGTTGCAACTACCGTTCCAATTGCTGGGTTGCTCGTCTATTCAAGAGCTGTATTGCAAATTGTTCATGCAATAATGTACTGATGCGTTTGTCTTTCCGAGTTTTGATAAAGATAGCATTTAACTTCCAAAAATTGCGAGATCTTTTTATATCCCTTACACGATTCTGCAAAGTAATACCATCTTGGGTTAGTTGATTGATATGATTTTGTTGGAGTGTATCGAGCTGTCTATATCTATTAATGTCCTGTTGTAGCCGAGTTATCTGATTATCTCAATCATCCCGTTGGGCGATGACATCATCTATATCCTGGTACGCAGATTGATAATTATGTCTAACAGCATTCAAAGAACCTCTAATGCCATTTATAATATTTATAGGATTGTTTAATGGTGTCTCAACGTTTCTAAGATGATTTTCAATACGATTTAAGCCTCAATCAATTTGTATAATAGGGTCGAGATTTGCCATATTAATGTCTTGCTCTTCTAAAGATTGAGTATATGGATCCGGTGAGCTTCTTCTCGAAGAAATAATTTTGATCTTTTCATCGAGTGTATCGATATTTTCTTGAAAAACTACTAACTGCTCTTCCAAGTAATCTATATATTTCTCTTGACTTATAGAAGTCTGGATTGTCTTTTCTAACCGATTTTTAATATCAGATATTTGTTGATGCAATGGGGCTAGTTCATCATTACGAATCAATATCTCCTTCTTAAGATATTTGATGTAATCCTCTTTTAAAATTAAATCACATTGCAACTTCCAAAACTGATTTTTTATTGCTGATAAACTATTTTCGAATTGCTTAATCTTCGATGACATCATTGGGATTTTTTATACTATAAATAAAATGAGTAATCCTAATATTGTTATAGATCCTTTAGAATCTCGAAAATTTGATATATCTATCGATTTACAAAAAATCTATTATCATCCTTCTGGCTATTAAAGGACTAGTAAAAAACTTTATGATGTTTCACATAATACCAGGTTCGATTTTACATTGGCCGAAGTTCAAGAATGGCTTGAAAGACAATTATTACATTTAATACATAAACCACGTCCAAAGTTTATCCAATATGCTTCTTTTAATAATATACAGAGATTAAACGAAATGCATCAATCTGATCTTACTCCAATGTCTCAAGATAAAATTGGAAATCGAGTTTTTAAATATAGACTTGTAATAAAAGATGTGGCAACTAGATATTGAAAAAGCTCTGCATTAACTAATAAATCAGCTTCTACAGTTGCTAAAGCAATTAAGAAAATTTATGAGAATTCTAGTCATTCACTTTCTTGGCCTAACATTTTTAGAACTGATAAAGGTACTGAGTATTTAGCTGAGTGTAAAGATTTATTATTAAGGCATGACGTATATTTTGATTCCAGAAAATCCAAACGTAGTAATGCAATTGCTGAACGTGATCACCAAGAATTTGAAAAACATGCTTATATTCGTCAGGATGCAGTTGACTTCCTTTTATCTTTATCTGAAAGATGTACATCTTGGGTTAAAGATCTTTGTAATAATGATGACATTTATAATGATACTCCTACCCGATTAATTCATATGTCACCTAATGAAGCTGTAAAGAGAGCATTAAAAGGGGAAAAAATAATTGCTGATCCTGCTGTTAAACATCGAAGGTCTATCGGGTTTGATGAACCTCGGTTAACCTATAAAGATTCTGTTTTATATTTACTCGAACCTGGTGAATTAAAATTTGGTAATAGACGTATAACTGATATGAACTGGTCTCCCAAAGTTTATCGTATCAAAGAATCCTTAATACAAAAAAATCAACCGGTATTATACTGGCTTATGGATGAAAATGGTGATGGTTCCGAGAGATCATTTGTGAGAGAACAATTATTATTAGTGAATAACAATATAGAATATCCTCCGAAATGGATCCTTAAACAATATTAAATTTCTAGACCATGGATTTTTTGAAGAATATCATCTACTTCTTCCTTGGATCTTTTTTCTACAACCTCTTCTTGGTTAGCTAGTTCGAAATATAATTTATATAATTTTTCTAAACTTGTATATACCTCTTCATTATACCAATCCTTGAAATCTGCCATTCTTTCATTATAAGTTTCCTCGTTTGGGGCACATTGTTTTGCAACATATCTAACATGATCTTCTGGATCTCTTTTTCGTTGTAAAGTTTTAAGATAGTTTACATATAATGCTCCTAATTTGTCATATTTTTTGGTACCTTGACTATATGCTACTTTAATCACTTCAACTAAAGCAGATTCGATATTTTTGTGGTCTACCATTTTGAATATTGTACTTTTTATTATATATTACTTAATCAGATCTTTTGTTTAAATAAAAAATATATATTTTACTCATGTCTGAAAAATATATTTGCTATTATATACATAATAATGGTAAAATTTGTGGTCGTAGATGTCGAAAACCTGAAGGGTGCTATGAGCATTGGAGATCTAAAAAACGTTATCTTTGTAAAGAATTTAAGATTTGTAAAAAATTTACTTCCGCCAAATCTGGAACATGTAAAGATCATACTGGTAACTTTTATGTTATGCAGTTTTATGATCAAAAACTAAACAAGAACACGGCTTCTTCGCCTGCTATGAATAAAAAAAGCATATAAAATTACACCAAAGACGACGACACAAAAAAAAATTGCTATACATTAAATCATATCAGATGTTTTATTTTTTCATTATCAGTTTCAGCTTTCTACCATTTTAAAATTTATAAGAAAGATAGTGTAATTCATAGCGATTAATAAAAGATTAAAGTCTCTCTAGATATACAATTATTTCACTAGTTAAATTCCTGTTAAAAATACTCAAAACTATTGAGGATCCCAAACTATTGAATTTGACGATTTATAAAAAATTAAAGATATTCTAGCTATGCATAAAATTACACCAAATTCTGAATATTAAAATTTTTTTATAACGATTTAAGAGTTCTAAAGCTGTAAAATTCACAAGAAATACACTATACAAGAAAGCTTTCAATCTGATTCCTTAATTAGTTTTTGTCTAATGTTTTCAAGAAAGCGTTAAAAAGGTCAGAAAAGTGCAAAAACCAAAGGTGTAAAGTTGAGGAACACAAAATAAGAAGTCTGCTCGCGCTCCCTGCTGCTAATATTAATATTAACTAGTGTTGAATTAAGAAAAAAATAAAAAATAGAAGAAATTTAAAATGAATAGCTATTTTTTTATTATTGTTAAATTACTATTAAACAAATTTTTATAATTTTTTATACATCACTATTAGATTTATATAGTCAAAACAAATCTAATGATATAATTTTATTTGAATAAAATCACTAAATATTGAGATATCAGATTTCAAAATAACAAATTCATTTTTGAAATTTCTAGTAATATACTGTAGGAATATATATAAAAAAATCATAGAAATTTGTCTAATGATAATTCAATAATAATAAAAAAATAACTATTCATTTTAAATTTCTTCTATTTTTTGTTTCTTCCTTAATTTAATACAAGTTGATATTAATATTTATTTATTGTTTATTATTGTTTATTATTGTTTATTATTTTTTATTATTTTTTATTATTTTTTATTATTTTTTATTATTTTTTATTATTTTTTATTATTTTTTATTATTTTTCATTATTTTTCATTCTTCTTGATAAATTTCATAATTTTTTTTATTTAGATATTTTTGAAGTATTTGAATATTATTGATTTTAAAAATGTTGTTACGATCCGAAATTATACTTAATTCCTTAATTCTGATCATGTGACTAAACATAGATTGTAGAGATAGCAGAGTTTTCAGTTATATCAACATTATTCGCTATATCACATTTATCTGACATGTATAACATATCCCACATTGTAATAACTTAGTCATAAATTATTTTATATAAATAAAGGATCTTT